GTCGCCGCGCCCGCCAGCCCGGCGCCGGCGCCGCGCGACGGCGAGCCCGAGAGCGCGGCACCGCAGGAAGCCGCCCTGCCCGACCCGGCCGCCGCGAGCGGCGGCGAGGAGGTCATGGCCCGCATCATGTTCACCGAGGCGCAGGACGAGGTGACCTCGGACGGCAGCGCCGCGCTCGACCGGCTCGCCCAGGAGCTGCAGGCCGACGAGAACCGGCGCATCCAGCTCCTGGCCTACGCGGCCGGCGACAGCAGTCAGGTCAACCAGGCCCGCCGCCTGTCGCTGTCGCGCGCCCTGGCGGTGCGCCAGTTCCTGATCGAGCAGGGGGTCCGCTCGACCCGGATGGACGTGCGCGCGCTGGGCAACAACGTGCCCGACGGGCCGCCCAACCGCGTCGACATCGTCCCGGCGCCGCGCTAGGGCGGCGGGACGCAGGCGAGGGAGCGCGCGTCGGCATCATGTTCTGGGCGGTCGTGATCGGGGCGATCGGAGCCAGCCAGGAGATCGCCACGCCATGACCCGCCCCACCGTCTACCTGCTGCGCATGGCCGTCTTCCTCGGCCTGGTGCTGGTCGCCGCGGCGCTGCTGTTCCCGCGCCTGCAGGAGGCCTTCCTGGCCAACGCCGTGCTCAACGGCATGATCATCGGCGTCCTGCTGCTGGGCATCGGCTACTCCATCCGCCAGGTCATCCTGCTGCGCCCGGAGGTGGCCTTCCTCGAGCACCTCAAGCGCGAGGCCAGCGGCGGGCTGATCTTCCCCGGCTCGGTGCAGTCCATGTCGCCGCCGCGCCTGCTCGGCCCGATGGCCAACATGCTGCGCGAGCGCAAGGGCCGCCTGACCCTCTCGGCGCTGTCGACGCGCACCCTGCTCGACTCCATCCAGACCCGCATCAGCGAGAGCCACGACATCTCGCGCTACCTGATCGGGCTGCTGATCTTCCTCGGCCTGCTGGGCACCTTCTGGGGGCTGCTGGAGACCATCAACGCCGTGGCCGACACCATCGCCAACCTTTCGGCCGGCGGCGACGCGGCGGTGCTGTTCGACCAGCTCAAGACCGGGCTCGACCAGCCGCTGTCGGGCATGGGCACGGCCTTTTCCTCCTCGCTGTTCGGGCTGGCCGGCTCGCTGGTTCTCGGCTTCCTGGAGCTGCAGTCGGGCCAGGCGCACAACCGCTTCGTCAACGAGCTGGAGGAGTGGCTGTCCGGCCTGACCCGCCTGTCCAGCGGCGGCGAGGGCGTCGGCGCCGGCGACGGCTCGGTCCCCGCCTACCTGACGGCGCTGCTGGAATCCACCGCCGACAGCCTGGACTCCCTGCAGCGCACCATCGCGCGCGGCGAGGAGGATCGGCAGGAGGCCAACCGCAACCTGGCCACCCTGACCGAGCGCATGAGCGTGCTGACCGAGCAGATGCGCACCGAGCAGGAGGTGATGCGCCGCCTGGCCGAGACCCACAGCGCGATCAAGCCGCTGCTGCAGCAGCTCAGCGAGGGCGAGCTGGGCGGCGGCGGCCTGGACGAGGCGACGCGCGACCATATCCGCACCCTGGCGCTCAACGTCACCCGCATCGCCGGCGAGATGGACCGCGGCCGCGACCAGACGGTCGAGGCGATCCGCGCCGAGATCCGCCTGCTGGCCCGGACCATCGCCGCGCTGGCCGAGGAGTCGGAAGGCTAGGCGCCCATGTACAACCTCTCGCGCACCGGCCGCGAGCGCGCCACCAACATCTGGCCGGGCTTCGTCGACGGCCTGGCCACCCTGCTGCTGGTCCTCGTCTTCGTGCTGCTGGTCTTCATGGTCGGGCAGTTCTTCCTCTCCACCGCCCTGACCAGCCGCGACACCCGCCTGGCCGAGCTGACCTCGCGCCTGAACGAGCTGTCCGAGCTGCTCGCCCTGGAGCGCCAGGCCAACGAGGACCTGCGCGTCGACGTCTCGCAGCTCTCGGCCGAGCTGCAGGCCTCCCTGACCCAGCGGGACTCCCTGAGCGAGCGGCTGGCCGCCCTGACCGAGCAGCGCGACCGCCTGGCCGGCGACCTGGCCGCCCTGACCAACGAGCGCGACGTGCTGGCCAACCGCCTGGAGCGCACCGAGGCCGAGCTGCGCGAACGCAGCGCGGAGTTGAGCGAGGCGCAGCAGCGCGTCGAGGCCGACCGCGAAACCATCGAGGCGCAGCTCGCCGAGGTGCGGTCGCTGCAGGACCTGCGCGACCGCCTGCGCGCCGAGCTGAGCGAGCTGGAGCTGCGGCTGGCGCGCGCCGAGACCGAGAGCGCGGAGCTGAGCGAGACCCTGGGGGCGCGCGACGCCCGCATCGCCGAGCTGGAGGCGCGGCTGTCCGAGAGCCGCGCCACGGCCGAGGCCCGGGCCGAGCGGATCGACCGGCTGGAGCGCCAGGCGCTGAGCCGCGAGGAGGAGCTGACCGCGCAGATCGAGGCGCTGGACGCCCTGCGCGCGCGGGTCGAGGCGCGCGACGCCGAGCTGGCCGAGCTGGAGGCCGAACTGGCCGCCAAGGCGCGGGCCCTGACCGCCGCGCAGGAGCGGGTGAGCACACGCGAGGGGCGTATCGCCGAGCTGGAGCAGTTCCTGGCCGAGCGGGAGGCGGAGCTGGCCGAGCTGCGCGACCGCGGCGCCGCGACCCGCGCCGCGCTGGCCGAGGCGCGCGACCAGCTCGCCCAGACCCAGGACTTCGCCATGGAGCAGCAGCGCCTCAGCGAAGAGGCGCAGCGCGAGGTGGCGCGCCTCAACCGCCAGCTCGTGCAGCTCCGCGCCCAGCTCGCCGCCCTGAACGAAGCGCTGGAGGCGGCCGAGGCGCGCAACCGCGAGCAGCAGGTGCAGATCGCCAACCTCGGCGAGCGCCTGAACGCCGCCCTGGCCACCAAGGTGCAGGAGCTGGCGCGCTACCGCTCCGAGTTCTTCGGCCGGCTGCGCGAGGTGCTGGGCGACAATCCCGACGTGCGCATCGTCGGCGACCGCTTCGTCTTCCAGTCGGAGGTGCTCTTCCCCAGCGCCTCGGCCGAGCTGCAGCCCCAGGGCGCGTCCCAGATCGCCCGCCTGGCCGACACGCTGAACGCCATCGCCGCCGAGATCCCCGACGACATCGACTGGGTGCTGCGGGTCGACGGCCATACCGACCGCCGACCGATCTCCACGCCGCAGTTCCCCTCCAACTGGGAGCTCTCCTCGGCCCGCGCGATCGAGGTCGTGAAGTTCCTGATCGCCCAGGGGGTGCCGAGCAACCGCCTGGTCGCCGCCGGCTTCGCCGACCACTGGCCGATCGTCGAGGGCGCCAGCGCAGAGGCCCTCAGCCGCAACCGCCGGATCGAATTCAAGCTGACCCAGCGCTGAGCCGCGCGCGCCTCCAGAGCGATTTGCCACCGTATGGAACCGCGCAACGGTTCCGCCGGTCGCGAGACATCGCTTTCACGTTACTGTGTGAGAGCAGATTCAGCGAAAGCGCGCGGGCGAGACGTCGGCGGCGCTGAGGCCCAGGGCCGCCAGGTCGGCCGGGACCGGACGGCCGAGGACCAGCGCGGCGGCGAGGCGGGCGGCGGCGGGCGCGGTCTGGATGCCGTAGCCGCCCTGCCCGGCCAGCCAGAAGAAGCCCTCGGCCGCCGGCTCGAAGCCGATCACCGGCGACTTGTCCGGCGCGAAAGTGCGCAAGCCCGCCCAGGCGGCCTCCAGCTTGGTCACCTCGTAGTCGAAGACCCGGG